AGAATTTTCATCATTGAGACAGTGGAATCCTGCCAGACCATAGTGGGTCTTCTAAGCAAACAGATAATATAGCAAATCAGTACAGCTTAGGATGCCACTGGATCAAAGAACCTTGATGAGGTGCCTGCAAACAGTACTATATGTTCACAAATGCATACATTTCAAAATATTATGGGGAGACTTTAGACAATCGAAATATGTTAATGAGGAACAAGTAATAGGTTTATGATGAAAAGAGAATAAAGAAAACACAATGTTTTGGCTGTGGAGCCTTCTTCAGGTGTGAGAAATCTATTAATGTATAGTGGGAAAATATTAAATGTGGTACAAAATGTAAGACTAAAGTGTAATAAACTGTGGAATATTATACTGTTAGCAGTGTAAGGATGTAGTGATAATCTCAAAGTCACTTTCTGGTGCTAAATGTTTGTGTACACATTTAATGACCAGACCCTTTTGGGACATTGTAAAAATAGTGAATTGGTAGGGTGTTTAAAAGCCATCATTACTGTATTTGCATGACATTTATTAGTTTGTTTTCGTCTTAAAAAGTACAAATACTTATATGAATTATATTACTCTAAAACAGAAGTAAGATAGTTATTTATTAAGTTATTGATGTGAGCCTAACATCAATTGATTGAAAGTATTTTCTCAGAAATGTATTCAATCTAAAGGATTTGAGTTGATAAGACTAGTATCAGTGGAGTTACCTGTTTCATATATAAGAAATATCTTTAAAAGTCCTTTTTTAGGAAAAGAAACATTCTGCATTAGCTTGTGTTCATAAGGTCTCATTATTTAGGTCTTTAAAATTCTTGATCCCCTTTTCAGTTGTTCCCTATTAATCCTGGTAGGAACGCAAACAAAACACAATTTAGTGTAAATTTAAATTTACATGGCTGCCAAACCAACCATTTTCTATAGTTGTTCAGGTGGGTAGCTGCGTAAGCTGCAGAGGAACAAGTAACAGGTTTATTCCATGCTTGAAAAGAGAAGAAAAAAAACAATGTTTCACACCTCAAGAAGACTCCACGGCCGAAAGTGTCTTCTTTCTTCTCTTTTCAGCATGGAATAAACCTGTTACTTGTTCCATTTTCTAAAGTGTTTTTTTATTCTGAGATTTTTCTATTAAAATTACGTTTCTGGATTTGTTTGAAACAAAAGAGATTATGGTGTTGAAATGCCACAAGCATTAGATTGCACTACGTGATGAGCCTTTGCTGGACACTCATTTGGAATATGAGAACTGTGGTATTACCAGTGAAAAATAAACGGAGTTCACCTCTTACTTACTGAGCTCTTCTAAGCTTCGTTACTGGTTTTGTCCAGGTAAATCTCTGGAAAATCATGATCCATTGGTACCCAGTTTCCACACATGACCCTGATGAGTACAGTATTTGTATATATTCATAAGTAAATTATTTATATCAATGTCCTTTAACCTGTAGGTTGATTTGGTGGGTGTGGGGTGGCAGATCATGTATCTTTACAGCTGTATTTTCCTATATTACTTTTTTCTTCTTGTAAGGTGTCAGCCTACTTATCTGCAACACTAAGTGTTTAATATTATATTTTTCTGTTGTTCAAAGATGTTTGTCTGTTTCTTTTCCAGTACAGTGCAGTTGATTCCAATCCACTGTCTGTCTACGTAATGCACCCGTTTTGGAATTCAGTTGTAAAGGTAGGTTTAAAACCTGCTTTGTAATAGTAGAAATGTCAACCATTGTTTTATGTAAATTTATACAAAGCAAAATGTATGATTAATTTTTTAGCTTAATAGAGATTTAGTGTTAAATATTATTTTCCATAGTTGCTGTGTATTGAACATGAATTAAACTAAGTATTAGTGTTTTTAGAGAAATCAGCTATATTAAGCTTTTTTGTGTTATTTGATTAATTGATCATTCATGACTGACTATGATGGACTCAAATGATATCATTTTCTGTTCTTCATTTCCAGATTTTACCTACATGGCTGGCGCCTAACTTGATCACTTTTACAGGTTTCATGTTCCTTGTTCTCAACTTTATGATGTTGGCCTTTTTTGACTATGACTTCTATGCTTCAGGTAAACTACCGGGTCTTGGGGTTGTGGGTGAAACAGGGAAATGTTCGACTGATTTGTGGTTTTTATTCCACAACGAGTAGCTCCTATTAAACTTTATTGTAGGTAAATGAGTTATGAAAAATGTGAGGTCACTTTCTTTAGAATATGGGTTCAGAGCTTGGTTAATGCTGTTCTGAGACACATGTTGCGGTTTGACGTCATACCTGAGTTGTGTGCTAACCAAAGGCAAAGTCCAGTGATCAGTCATTGTAAGACAAATCATTAAAGAGCTGAAATATGGGGAACTTTGATCTCAGTTCTGATCCAAGTTACCTTGTCAGAGGCTGGACCATAAACTTTCATCTGGAGGTAATACTCCTGGAATTTACATTTTTTACATGAACCCTTGACCTTAAGTTCACTGTTCTGTTTGCATACATTTGGCTTTTTACTAGATGCCTATGTGGTTCATAGTTTTATTAGCCTTTTCTAAATGTGCCTTTTCTTATTCCAACACAATTTTCAGACAACTGTCTTTGATATTAAAAATATGGAAAAATGTACTCCTTTAATTAAGCACATCTGTGTTTATTTACCAGGTGGACTTGGCTGACAGTATTTTGATGTTACACCTCACCAGTATTTGATTTTGATTCAGCTCAGTAACTGTAATTTGCAATTGTTTTAGATTGCTTACAGACAATTCATGTCCATAGAGATTCAAAACATGCATTTAAATTGTTTCGTTTTCCTGATTTTCTTCCAAGAATGTACAGTGACAATTCAAGTCATTTACTGTTTTTTTGGTTTGAATTAATTCTTCACAAATTTTTCATGACCATTTAGACATGCATACCTTAAAATTATCAAAAGTTTTTTGAGTACACTCTGTAAATTACAAAGGGTGTGCATGACATTTTTAGTATTTTCTGTATTCATCCTAGTCTGCAAGATTTTTCCTTTTCATATGCTTAAACCTTTTCAGATTTGGTTCAAGTTTTACAATGCCTGTAGTTAACATTGGGCATTTTTATGATACTCACAGTTTGTGGTTAGTTTTTTACTTGTGAAGTAAAGGACACTGAATTATTAGGATTCCTCCTGAAGTGTTGTAAGCTTCAGTTCCAAAACCTTCTTAGCAAAGTGTCAATTTAACAGGATGAGCAGGTGTGATTTGCTATGCTGCAGTGCAGCCAGCTAAAGGCTACAGTTCTGGAAGCACTGCAGTATCAGGGGGGCAGATGTGTGTATAAACCCTTTGTAACAGATAATACGGGAGGGTAACATAAATAGTGTCCGTTAACTAGTAGTGAATCTAATACAGAATTGCATGGCTTTTAACTGAAGTCAGATGTCTGCTGCTTATAAATGCTTTATCAATGGTTGCTTCAGTTTTGACTGTGGCTTTTACACTCTTATAAAGTGTGAATTGCCCCTCTGTTTGTGTGCAAATTTTACTTATCAGTTGCTTCAGGTCATGAAATGGAAATGTACGCACAGTTATAGAGGGATTGTCTGGATGATTAAATCTAAGTTCTTTTGTTCTGCTGAATACAGAATTTGAAGAAACCAAAGAAACCAGGGATTTTGCTTTGTATTGTCACTTGTATTGATGTGGTAAACAATCTAACAAAAGAAAAAATATTTTACTTGGGTTTTTCAGGATGGTTGTTCAGTCCCAACTTAATCCAGATTAGTTGTTTCACTCTTAGACATATTTCAGTCTTAGTTTTCTTCAATGTAGACTTTTACAGATTAACTGTATTGAAGCAAGCTATAACTAATCTTAAACTGTTTTAATACTTTCTCTGAAAAGCATTTTGAAAATACATCATTATTATAGGGGGTATTGGTAAAATTTTTCAGTGAAATAATTGTTTTTAACATAATTGTGATTAACATGAATTGCCATCAAGTAAAATTTCATGGGCTAACAGTCAGACTCTTAAATGTGTTCATTTATCAACAGCACCAGACCATCAACATGTACCAAGCTGGGTGTGGATTTTAGCTGGCCTATTTAACTTTACAGCATATACATTAGGTATGTATTGCAAATTAAGTTGTTTTACCTCTAAATGAGAGGTATTCTTTATTACTAAGAAAAGATAGATAACGAAAAGATTCTGGATATGATGGGAAAGTAGCATTAGGAAGTAAAAGCATAAATGATTGTCATTTTTTCAGCTGAAGTCCTGAATGTATTACATGAATCCCGTGCTCTTAAGTAGCACATACATACCACTTGGATGAGATGCTTCAGCCATTGTGCACCAGCAACCCCACTACACAGCATATCAGGTAGAGAAGTGAGAAATCGCTTCACCAGTTAAGCTGTGGGGGGACTTTAAATCCCACACTGGACTTTAGGTAGGACAGCAGGTTTAATTCCCCTGCTCTTTTGGAAAGTGCCATGGGATCTTTAATGGCTCTGTAGACAGGATCTTGGGTTAACATCTCATCTGAAGGATGGTACCTCCTACAACAGAGTGTCCTTGCTGTATGGGATACTGGTTTGGACATTTAGGTCTAGAGGGAAGAGTGCTGCCTACTGGTTCACATCTACTTGCAGGAGAAACCTCCTTTGCAGTCCTATCTGATCTCTGTCCAGGCCTACATTTGCTTAGCTCCTGGGGTTTAATATGATTGGGCGGCAAAGTGGTAAATCTGCTGCCATTCGTAATTAATGCACTGAATACATTTAAAGTATAAAAAAATTGGAGAAAATTATTTTGCTGGGATGCAGAGGTGTGTTATGAGGGAGGAGTAGCAGACAGGAAAGTGAAAGTGCTCTCTCGTATGACCTGCTCAGTTAAATCATAGCTCGTACCTACCTTGCTATTAATCTCGGTAAGTATGCCTGCTGTTTTGGCATTGCAGATGGAGTGGATGGGAAACAGGCTCGGAGGACCAACTCAAGCACACCACTAGGGGAGCTGTTTGACCACGGGCTGGACAGCTGGGCCTGTGTGTTCTTTGTGGTGACGGTGTACTCCATTTTTGGGAGGGGAGACTCTGGCGTGAACGTAGTCACACTCTACTACATACTGTGGGTGGTGCTGTTTTCCTTCATCCTCTCTCACTGGGAGAAGTACAATACCGGTGTGCTGTTTCTTCCCTGGGGATATGACATCAGTCAAGTGGTAAGACCACCACACTGCAGTGTGCCATAATTCTTACTTGTCAGCCTATGCAAGCTGAGACCTAAAGGAACACCTTTTATAAGCAGTCAATCAAATGGAGCAAAATTAAAAGGACTAAACAGCAGGTCATCTTAGAGATCCTCTTTGTGCACCATACCAGCCGATCAGAATTGGGCTTAAAGTGATGTTAAGGAACAATTAATAGGTTTATTCCATGCTGAAAAAAGAAGAAAGAAAATGCATTTAGGCTGTGGAGCCTTCTTCGAGTGACACCCGAAACGTTGTGTTTTCTTTCTTCTTTTTTCAGCATAGAATAAACCTACTGTATTACCTGTTCCTTTGCAGCCTGCGCATGGTGACGCAGCTACCCACCCGTGCTACTTTAAGTGATGTTACTTGTGTAGTGTAATTTAATTATGTGTTGCTTCTCTACATTGCCTTCCTAGAGCTCTAATGGCATTGTAAAAGATCATATAATAAAAGTAAAATATACTTAAATTGTGCTTTAATAGATTTCAGAGGTAAATGCATACAAGATTAAAAGTAGTAATCTTTATTCTTTTTGAATCATAAATAAAAAATGAATTCTTGCTAAAGAGCTCTCAGTGTCATTGACTTAAAGATATTCAGAAAATGTTTTGTCTGTTTTGGATCTAGATCTGTTTAGCTCACTGTCTTGTATCAACCACTGATTTGGCTGCTCCTATAGGATTGTGGGCAAAAATACGACTGCATTGGGGGGGAAGAAGAGAATTTGCAACTTACTGATCAGAGATGTGATCACCTTTTCTTTTAGACCATCTCCATCGTGTACATTGTGACCTCTGTGGTTGGGGTGGAAGCTTGGTACATGCCGATATTGTGGAACATCCGCTACAGGGACCTCTTCACTGTTATGATTCTGGGTGAGAGATCTAACTAGCTAGTCTTTTAAGCCATATAGTAATGTGGGTGAAACCCTAAAACAGCAAACAAGGTTAGGTGCAATGTTCTATGAAAAGCCTAATTCAACATTATGCTTAACACTAATGAATAGTTCTAAAAATTTGAATGCAAGAATTAATTCTTGCTGGTTAATTATAGTTATGCTTTGTTATTCCGTAATTAAATGAAAAATGCAAATTTGAATAGTTTTATATTGCATGTTTTTGTCCTATGAGACATCCCACAAGAAACAAATTGTATATTTAATACCCTTTTCTTTCTATCTATTAGGCTGCGCGTTTTTGGTAACCCTTCCAATGAGCCTGTACAACGTGTTGAAGTAAGTTCCCCATCACTTGTGGTAGCTGTATTGCAGAATTTGTTTGCCGATCAACAGCTTTTGATGGTTAGAAAAGCTAGAGTCCACAAAGATGTGCAGGACTTAGTTACTTAGGAACAAATGCCAAAGCTAAAGATAACTGGAATTGATATTGTGGAAGTTCATAGATTGTGAGAATTAGCTTTACAGTGTTGAGGAAACTTTTTTAATCATAAACCATTTAACCTAATTAGCTAAAAAATTCATGATTAATTCTGAACGGGGAATAATTATGTAAGGACAGTTTTCATTTTTATGGATTAGGATTGAAAAATATACTTTCTCGCTGCCAGTTATTTAGTGCATGTTGTGCCTTTTTTTATATGATTTTAATTTGAAAAAGTTGCCCAACATTATTCTCTCTCATTATCTACTTGTTCCCATCCTCAAAGAATTTGTACTATAAAAACTTGTGTTTTTTTTGTGTTGAGAAGAACAGAAATGTAAAAATCCATACTGAAGACATTTTGAAGTTTCCACACTTCATGTTTTCAGGTTAGAGGCACTCCAGTAACGCTTCTCACTGAAGTGCCAGTGTCAGTCAGTACCACTGCAAAACAATTAGCACGTTATAGCCTGTTGGACTTTTATCTGAGTATCTGAGCACAGTATGGTTCAAGTAGGATTAATGTGATGTCAGCAGGCACACGAGTGACGTTGAAGGTGCTTTTCTTTCGCCCTCTAACTGTTGCTTCTGCCTTCCCAGGGCATACCGGAACAACTCTTTGAAGCAAAGCTCTTTGTACGAGTCCTTCTTACCGTTCCTGTCCCCAGTGCTGCTCTTCATTCTCTCCACCGTCTGGGTCTGCCTCTCCCCCTCAGACATCCTCCAGAAGGAGCCAAGAGTCTTCTACTTCATGGTGGGGACAGCCTTCGCCAACATCACCGTAAGTCACGGGGGCTTGTCGCACAGCTCGGACTTCAGTGTTGAGAATTAGTCCGCGATTCCCGAGAGGTGAGCCATAAACAGTTCTCAGACGGGACGTCTCAGATGAGGACAGAACAGCTGTCACTTGTTGAACTGCTTCATCTCTGTGATCTCTGGGCCTTCACCATATGACTGGTATGATTGTCATTTAGCTGAAATCATGTTTAAGCCCTTGAAATATTCCCAGTGGTGTTAAACTCATCTAGAATGATTATCCTGTCCAGGCTTTCTTCATTAGTGGGAATTTGGAAGAATACTTTGGACCATTTACCAGCTAATAATTTTGTATAACTCGGAACCAATAGCTAGCCTTAACAGCCTACCTGGAAATAATTCACTCTGGGAACAGAATTTAAAAATGATTTTCCCCTCATGACATATTGCTACATATCTATAAGTGATTTCCTTACTTTGTGTCAGGCTCAGTGGCATATTGACCTAGACAGTGTAGCATTCTCCTGTCATGGAAGATCTGGTCATGTTGCGGCGTTAAATTCATCGTCTAGGGAGCAGCGCTATGTGTGCTCTTAGTCCACGAGCGACCTTGATCGAACCCCGCCAGGGGCAGAGCAGAGATCTTGAGAATTCTGACAGACCAGCATTTTTACAGGATGGCTTCAGGACCGCTAATGTCTGTGCCTTCTGCCCGTCTCTCTGCAGTGTAAGCTGATTGTGTGTCAAATGAGTAACACACGCTGCCAGCCGCTCAGCTGGTTGCTGCTTCCTATGGCGGCGGTGGTGTTGCTGGTGGTCTCAGGTGTGGTGCAGCACAGTGAATCGCTTATCCTGCACATCTGGGCTGCAGTTGTAGCCCTCGCTCATATCCACTACGGGGTTTCTGTGGTAAGTTCCCATCTCTTAGTATGAATTGAATCTTGAGTGAAGAATACTAAAGGCATCATGTGCTGGCTAAGCATGTGATGCCTTTAGTATTTTTTTGTTTAAAAAAAATGTTTTGTAGTGAATGTTCCCTGGCACTCATGCAATGGGAGCTGCACTGTACTGGTTTGTGATTCTGAAACAACCATCATCCCCACCCAACAAACCCCAACTAAGTAATAATTGAAGCATAAGAGGACTACATTTTTGCAAATCTCTATACTGTTAAAGTTAATGTTTTGCCCTTTTCAGTTGAAACCCCTGAACTGATGATTGTGTAGGATTCCTATTTTCAATTCTTCCACTAGATGGCACTGAATCACAAATTTACAGTTCAATTCCAGTTGCAGTATTTTTTCTGTTATAATTTAAGACAAATAGTCATGAGACTGAGTGGCATCAGATTTATTCAAGCTTTTTTTGCACTTTAAATCTGCAGAGAATTCTTTGCAACTCCAGAATTATTAATTTTAGAACCTATATCTTAGAGTGTAGCTGTGGTGTTTCCAAATGTATTCTAGTTTAGGTTTTTTTCAGTTGTTTGTGCAATAGTTTTTGTTTTGGTAGCACCTTATTCAAAATGATTAAAAATTGTAAAATGAAACTGATGTTCTAAGTGTGTTCAAATTAGGAAATTGTATCTCAGAATTCACCTTTTGAGTGGCTTTGATGTAGATTATGAGCATGAGTGGATGTTATCTAGATCATTTCCGCACTGGGTAGTCATAAGACAAGAAGCATCTTGCTCA